GCGGTTCAAACAATGACAGTGTTTTTTAACTTTCTGATCTTCTTAATTGGAATGCAAATCTTCTTCATTTTATTCGAACATGGCAGATACGACGATATCTAATAATGAGGTATGTTATGGAGTACAAAAAAGTTTGTTTTTCAATAACTAGAAAGTATTTAAAAAAAATAACATGTTGTTTCATGAATTTTAGGCTCATGTTTGGAGTTGGCGATGGAATGAGGCGTGCAACTGGAGTGGCAAAATAAATTGCCAGACGAAGCCAGTACTGATACGCCACATTGAAGAGCAATTAGGTGTGTGTGGCCGCCTTAATGAGTTCAAAGAATCAATTTTTGGACACTTTTTAAGGTTCGATGCACAGGCTTACTACAATGGGAAACTATTGCTCGCACTTTTCGGTCAGGAGGTCATTGTTGATGGTGCTCGGGAGAATGAGCATTGGTATAGAATCGGGGGAAAAAATTATAAATTTGGCAAAGTCGAGTTTTGCCAAATTACCGGCTTGAAGTTCGGTGGGTCATCGTTCATCCCCGACGAGCACGAGTCTATACCACCACCGGAAAATGGGGTATATCGCCGTCATTATGACGGCAAGAGTGTAGTCGGTGCTCACTTTCTTAATGACTTCAAGAACAGAAGGTTCGCGGAGTACCCCGACGACGCACTGAAGGTTGCACACATACTAGTAGTTCACTATTTTTTCTTTGCACCCGACCCCAGATCCACTGTGCCACTATGGCTTTGGAGCTTAGTGGACGAGCCTGAGATGTTCAGGATGTTTCCTTGGGGGCGTATGCCTTCCAACGATTACACCATTACCTTCATGATGTCATATGCGCGCCTGAGGATGGGTCAGATGTGCAGTTCAACATCCACGCGTATTTGATGCCTCTTCAGGTACATGTGTACAATTTAATTTTTTTTTTTGCTTATTTTACGTTTTCTAGTTGTTTAAAAAGACCATTAATGATTTTCTTTTTGTTCTTTTTTTTTTCTGTACAAAGATATGGCTTGTGAGATGATGCCCAAGTTTGTTCTTGACGCTGGAGGGTTGACATGCACGGGAGATGACATACCGAGGGGCGCTCGTTGGCTTTTCCCAAAAAAACGTTTTATTCGTTTGGATGAGATAGATGACCCCGAGGTAAATATATTTATTATACATTATAATTCTTGCATCATTTGTGTTATATGAGTTTTCTTATTTTTGTTATGGTAAAATGGCATTTTGTATGTAGATTCAATGTACGCCGATTCGAGTGACAGATGCTGAGAGAATCCAGCCATACATGGTAGACATTGAACAAGACTTGTCTGTGGGGTTGCAGTACACCCACCACGAGTCTTGGGTCAGTTCGTGTGTTCCCTTGCCACTTAGAAACAAGCAACAGAAGAAGAGAAAGGTTGTATCCCTTATGGGAAAGTCTTTGAAGAAGTCTCGTGAAGATGAGACAACAAATGATGAGGAAGAACCGGAACCCATGGAGCCACAACGAGAGAAGAGAGAAAGCACCAGTACAGCATTGGACAAAGATGACATTAAGGCATGGGTGAAGGAGGAAGTTTCCAACTGTCTGAAGGAGTTGGTTCCTTCGATAGTTGAAAGGAGTTTGAGTCAGCTTATCCCCGATGCCATTAATCGGGCATTTGGGGATGTGTTTGAGAGATTAAATGAATAT